ATTGCATTCAAAGTAAAGGCTCTAATTTGCCAGGTGAAGATCAATCATTTAAGAAGACATCTACTGCTTGCAACAACGAATCACAGATGCCAACATACAAAGAGTAATTCATATAAACTACTCAGTTACAGGCCACCTGATTGGGCAAGCCACCTTCAAATGATTCCATTAGTGAAAGTTAAGGTAGGAAAAAATCCAATTGTATATAAATATATTTGATTTTCAAAATACTTTTATTTATATATGAGAATATATTTTTTTTAATGTATTAATCAGTCAATTTTGAAAAGCTGAACTCCTGCTTTAGGGCACTCTTATTATTATTAAAGGGAAACTTTTTTGCAAAATGTCTTTTAGCTCTACAGCCAACCTCTATTACGAGGAAATGTTTATTAAAAAGATGGGAATACAGTAGGTTTGCCAGATGACCGTTCAAACACATTCAGTTCCTGTGGAACAAATTCAATTGTTAAGATCAAAATAATATTTTCATAATATATCTCAAAATTTAAAATTGGATATCAGTTTATGTACGTAAATCTACAGACTTTTCAAATGCATACAATATAGATAGCACAGTTACTCCATTAATTTTCTCAATAAGGGTAAATAAATATTTTTTAGCTTTTTCAGCCATTTACACCTATTCATAAATGGAGTCTTCCAAATATACCAGATGATATTGATATTTATATCAAGCGAGATGACATGACTGGATCTGTTTTATCAGGTAACAAGGTTAGATGTCTAATACTGTATTGCTTTAGTCGCACTGATAATATCAACATTTATTTAAATTAATAAGATCATTTAATAATACATCAAGTCACAGATAAAAGAAAGTATCATTTCCAATTATTTAAAATCATTTTAATACAAAAATTCAGGAATTTTCTTCTTGAAATTTGTCACATAGAACCTGACAGTGTGAACAGAGCTTAAAGCTGTGTCCACACTGTCACATTTTTTGTTACAAATTTGTGTGATGTGCTCATAAACGAGCATGATTATGTCATATTACACCCAAATATGGACATATCACATTTATTTGTCACACCTGATAGTCAGTGTGGGAGGGGGAAGCAGGAGCCTAAGCCCCCCCACCGGACTGGTCAAGCCCCTCCCCCATCGGACAGAGCACATAGGGCAGTTGAACTAAAAAGAAATATAAAAATAGCCCACACTAAGCCAACAGATGTCTGTCACAGTCTGAAATTGTCATTTCTGGCCATCCATAAGTTCCTATATCTTAAAAAAATCTCATTTGGGAAGCTCAGAAAATATATCCTAGAGTCGCCACTGCTGATGTGTGATCAGAGATTAAGATTAAGAATGTAGTGGAGGTGTGCTTGGTGGTGACAATGCTTTGCCTTCAGATTCCTGGGTTCTGGGCCTCATGACTCAAAATATTTTCCCTCTCTATGTCTTGCATCACATTATTTCATATATTTAAGTTTGCCCCTGAATATCAACTGACCATATTTAGGCATGTCACATGTTTTTGTCAAATAATATTTGATAGTCTGGACAAGTCCTTATTATTTGTCCTCTGCTTCGTCTCTGTCAGTCATTTTCTTTTTAAATTCAAATTTATCAGCGCCCTCTGTCATAAGTTTATGTTTTTATTAGGTACGGAAGTTGGAGTTCTTACTAGGTGAAGCCTTAGCAACTGGTTGCCAAGCAGTAATAACATGTGGTGGAGTTCAGTCAAACCATTGTCGCACAACAGCAGTTGCAGCTAAACAACTTGGTATTGAAACCCATCTTCTACTCAGGTCCAGGTCAGAGGTAAATACTTATAAGTGGCAGATTGAAGATGGAACCCTGGGGGGACTCAGCTGACCTGTGCCCCTTCATATTTTTTTTAATGAAAGTTCTTTTTAAAGAATGGAGAAAACATAAAAGAAAATTGTATTCAAATTTAAGTGTAAGAGAGCCATTTCCAGCAATCTAGAGGTGCCACAATTATAGTTTTTCTCAGCCCTACGATGGTTGTTGGACCCTTGGTCTGTGAATATCTTTCCCTGGACCCCTTTATTCTCAATTTCTTGATTTTCCACTGCTTAATACTTATTATATGACATTCAGTGTAAACATCGCCTGCTCTATCCACTGGTCTAATTTGAGTCTAGTGTTTTTAATAGCCTTGACTTTTCCCACTTCTTTAAGGCTGTACTTATACTCACTGCCTATGCCCAGCCAACTGCTCTCCAGGGCTCCAAGTAAATAAATGAAAATAATAATAAAAAAAAGTATAAATCATCACCTAACACATTCATCTCATATTTTCGATAGTAATTAATTTTGAATCTTTTATTAGAACCTGTCTGAGACTAGTTGTCATGGGAACATGTTACTGAACAGTTTGATGGGTGCATCCATGTACTTGGTTCCCATAAAAGCTCAAGAGAAGACCGACCTTGAGCCAAGAATGCAGCGGCTTGCCGACAGACTGCAGTAAGTTAGAAGTTTTGACCACTTTTTTTTATTTTCCTCAAATGGAAAGCAACTTGTCAATCAATCAATCAAACCATCCTCTGGCATCCATTACCTTCATCCCGTGTCATCTTGTTGATCTCTTGCCACTAACATTCCAACGGGAAGCAACTTGTCAATCATGTTCTGGCATCCTTTGGGTGCATATTTCATCAAAAAACTCCTCTACACACGGTACTCTACAAGAAGATTATGATACAGATGTTTTTTAGAACAAGGGCAATACGTTGTGGAAAGAGGAGAGCAGGGGACAGTCTTGTACTATTGCGACTACAATATTATGAGTGGAAATACTACCATCAAATTTACGATCAAACAGGACTAGGGAGAATGGAAGCACACAAAACATTAGTTAGCATTTTTATTTCATAACCATAAAGGTGATTTGTATTTAATTTATCATCATTATGACGTGCAAGATTGCCTCAACAAAACATCTGAGTTTTTGAACTTGTGATATCGCTACTTAAATAAGTTGAAATAGATAGACATGTCCTTGTCAAAGGCTGTACATTGTTTAATAACGGCTATATAAAATTAAATTGGCTAACTATAATATTTTGAAATTAGGAAAAACTATGTATGCAGACAATATTAAACACCTAGTATATACGGGTCTTAATATACAAAAGGAATAAATCATTTATAGTAGAAATTGTTCATTTCTGAATTTGTAAAAATGTTGGCCCAATAGGTTTACACGCTTTAAATTTCAACAACGTACAGTACCTTGTTTTCACAATAAATTGATGGTTACTGAGATGGTTTACAAAATGTAAAAACAACTGCATTTTTACTCGATTTTAGTCTGGAAATACGCACCGCACTTGAAACAGAACACAAGTGAACAGACAAAATTCATGACAGTCATTCGCAATTGTTGTTGTACTTTCTACTCGTTTTAAAAAGTGGAGTTTTAAATATAGAAGATTGGTCTTGTACTATTGCGACTACAATATTATGAGTGGAAATACTACCGTCTAATTTACGATCAAACAGGACTAGGGAGAATGGAAGCGCACAAAACATTAGTTAGCATTTTTATTTCACAACCATAAAGGTGATTTGTATTTAATTTATCATTATCATGACGTGCAAGATTGCGTCAACAGAACATCGGATTTCTTGAACTTGTGATATCGCTACTTAAATAGTTGAAATAGATAGACATGTCCTTGTCAAAGGCTGTACAATTATAGTTTAATAACAGCTATATAAATTTCAATTGCCAACTGTAATTTTTTGAAATTAGGAAAAACAATGTATGCAGACAATATTAAACACCTCTAGTACCTGTATATACGGGTCTTAATATATAAAAGGAATAAATCATTTATAGTAGAAATTGTTCACTTCTGAGTTTATAAAAATGTTGGCCTAATAGGTTTACATGCTTTAAATTTGAACAACGTACAGTACTTTGTTTTCACAATAAATTGATGGTTACTGAGATGGTTACAAAATGTACAAACAACTGCATTTTTACTCGATCTTGGTCTGGAAATATGCACCGCACTTGAAACAGAACACAAGTGAACAGACAAAATTCATGACAGTCATTCGCAATTGTTGTTGTACTTTCTACTCGTTTTGAAAAGTGGAGTTTGAACTATAGAGGATTTGTAAAATATGAGGGGGGACAATTGATATGACCTTCCCCACCCCCCCCCCAACTTTGAAAAGTGGGGGGAGGGATGCACCAATAGATGCCCATGGTTTAGAGTGATCAAAGTTTGTGCACTTGTGGTGCAGCAATCACGGCTGCTTTCATCTGTCCAATACATTTTCTTGTAAGTTGTGTGGCCCATCAGCATCCCTCTCCCAGCATTACCTCCTCACCTGCCCTTTGGCTAATAATAGATATCAACTCAGTGTTAGACAAACACATTTTAGCAGTAGAAAAATTTTACATGTATTGAAAACACAGCACAGATGGAGACTTATACAATGTTTGCCATTGATTTGATGTGTCTTTGTGGGCTCTGTTAAGCATATTCATATTTTTTTATTAAAACGTTGCCAAATATGTTATTTCCTTATGTTTTTTTTTAGAGAAGAAAAGGGTATGAAAGCATATTTAATCCCTATTGGTGGATCCAATGTTGTTGGCCTCCATGGTTACTTGTGTGGCTGGCAAGAACTCTTAGAACAGGTAAGTTGATTGGAGAAACTAATATATTAAAACATCTGGTTTTTCAACCAGCACAATCTTAACAGATCTATTATAGAATACATTTACATTTAACAGTGTTTAATTTTGAGTAGTGTTGTACTGTAGCTTTGTGGTTGAAATGCTTGCCTGGTAATCCAGGGGTCCTGGGCTCTAATCATGCATGCATTAGTTTAATAACTAAAACATCTCCACTCCCAAAGGGTTTATATTGTACCTGTATGCATATGTATCAAATGTGAGTGCAACAGTGCACTTGTATATGTATTTGTAGCAAATAGGAGTGCAACATTTTTTAGCATGTATATAATGATGTCGTGATCATTGATAAAGTGATTGATTGTTTTGATTGATTTTGTTCATTAACACTCTGTGTTTTGATTGATTTTGTTCATTAACACTCTGACCGCCAGGGGATTGAAAAAATAGTATCAGCCACCGCCAGATTTTTAGCCAATTTTAACACCTTTCCGAAGCTCGTAGAGAGTGTGTATGTGATCAGATTGACATGTAGTGAAATACTACTCATGATATTCTAATCACGATATGTGACCCGTAACAGTCAATTGAAAGTGACCCACTTTTGGAGATTTACGCAATTTCGCAAAAGGAAGCTGAGATAATCGCGATTTTGTGAAAGTAAATAAATACTGCTCTATGCTAATGTAAACAAACATATAGTGAAATACTTACGGTCCAGACTGAATATAGTGTTCAAATTGTTAGTACATATCAGTAATTACCCCATCTATCGGATTCCGTAAAAATACCTGAAACACGGAGATCTCCCTGATTGGCTGTCAAGCGTTGCATCCGTGTTTGGTGGGCAGAGTGTTAATGATTGATTAATGGGATAATTGATTGAATTGATTAATTGGTTTATTGATTGATTGGTTGATTATATATATTTATTGATCATTTTCATTGAATTAATTGATTATTTTAGGGAGTGACTGACAGGTTTGATGATGTCATACTGACTGTAGGCAGTGGTGGAACAGCAGCTGGTGTTGCTATTGGCAACTTCCTTTACTGGATCCCATCTCAGGTATTTATTAAGTTGATCTTTTTATTTGGTGGTTTGGTCAAAAAACTGCAGGACATCTATTAAAGCATAATGACTTAGTACACACACACATATGGAGTGGACTATTAGTGCAATATTGAGCAAGTTTGAAACCTGTGAGTACATTGCTTGTCCTTGTTAAAGCCCTCTACAGACTACTAAAGTTTATTTGACAAAAACATGTGACATGCCTAAATATGGTCATGATGACATCACAACATCACCATAATAGGCACATCATGACTAAATATGGTCATGATGACATTACATCATCACCATATATAGGCACATCCTCACTATATTATTATGGGCATATAACAGTTTTTGTCAAAGAAGTTTTGATAGTGTAGAAAGCTTTACACTGATTTGAATTGTTTGTATTTTTTTTAAATAATTCATTAAAACAGTAGCCCAGCAGACTAGTATTTTGCTTGACCACACATACACTGGTAAATCAGCACTAGCACTGACCAACGAGCTCAGGAAACACAGGTCAAAGTTCAAAGGCAGCCGAATACTCTTTCTACATTCAGGTATGTATCCATGCTTGATATTGAGGACAGATGTTAGTGTAGGGAAGGGCTCTTGACACTTCACTCCCTCTCACCTCCCCCCCCCCCCACATTTTCACCCTTGTATTGATGGAAGAAGTGTGCAATATACTGACTGCATGACAATGTTTGTCATAAATATTAAAATTATTATTATTATTATTATTGTATACTTATAT